TAAGTTTGTATATATTAAGGTTTTTAAAATGTTCTTGTATGTGAGGAATACTAAGTCATTTTGTTTCATATCTATAAAATTATCATCCTCATGATATCTAGATGAAAAATTAACTCTAAAATAATTACTTCACTGATCAAACTTTAAAATATTTCCTCCAATAATCAAATTCTAACATATTTCTTCCATTAATCAATCTCTTAAATTTTTCCTCCAATAATCAAACTATCACATATTTTTCCCACCAGTCAAACTCTACACATATCAATTCACTCGAGATGTTATTGTTGTTTCAAGAAAATCAAGAAATAGCTGCTTTTCTTCTTAAGAGCAATTTGCCAGCAAATCTACATTTTTGAAAAAAAGTTGATCATTTGCACAAACTTTAAGCACCACAAATTTCTGCACTTGTGACATTCAAAGTTTTAAAAAGTCCGTCATTTGAGGAGCTTGCGCAAGCTTACATTGTCATAAGCATCCACTTGGCATGTTACGCTTGCTTGTGCACTAAAATTCTCTCTAAATTGTGCTCATTTGATCCGCGACTTGTGTCAAACTCCCATATCAATTAATAATTGTTAAAGCATAAATAAAACTAACAAGCAACACAACATACACACATATACATGGTACGCCACTCTTGGGTATGGTGAAATGAAGTAAAAAACATTCAATGATATCATAAAATAAAATAACTATTGAATAAGTTTTAACACTTTTAATTATCTAGTGTTTTAATTTAAAAACATTTGTTTCTGCCAAATAATTTTATTTTAATGTGTAAAGCTTTGACAAAGTTTTTAAAAAAATTGAAAATTTTACTCTTGATCCTTATTTCAATTTTTGAATCGTGAATGATTTGAATTATCATGAAATTCAAATCATATTTTTTCAACATACATGATACATATTTCAAAATGTTTGCAGATATCAATAATTAAATAAACAATGTTGTTTTCATTTATATACATATTATCACATAAAAGTCAGAATAATATTGTGAATAATGAAACCTTGTCATCATTAAATAACATCAATAACAGTCGTTGATAAAATGCATGAAAAAAATTATCCAAGAAACAAAAATCTGTTCAATATTAAGTTGTTCACTTCAATACCAAATTTTTGTAACATTTATTTTGTACATTTCAATGATAGACTCTTAGTCAAATGTTTAAACATTTATTTCAAGATAAAATAAGTCATCATTGCAATCTTATATTCTTATTTAAAAAAATTCATCATAAAGCTCACATTTTTCAACAATGTGTAATTATGATTAGATAATTTTTTAATGTTAATTGCCTTTTAATTCATACAAATTTTTTATACATAAATTTATTCATTCAATATATTTTATCAAGTTAAATTAAAACCATGAAATATCTTTACATTGTCATTTTGTGCATGCTATTTTGATTGTTATTTTATCACTTTAAGTTTAGATTTAAAACATTTGTCAAAATCATTAACCTTAGACAAATTTTGGATTAAATGATTACATTGGAGTAAAATTTTTATCATGCTTTTCAATGTTAAGCTTGGCAATTGATTATTTATGACTCTACTTTTGCTAGGCACAATCCTTAAACTTATCATCTATGTTGATAACAATGTTCAAATACAAATTTTCCACTTGTTGATTGATTCACACTTGACATGTACACTTAAAAAAACAATTTGTTTAGACCTTCCAAAGAAAGATGTTGTTAATGTAATCATTCCTGATGATAAATTGTTGAAGCCAAAGCATGATATATATTTTAGTACAAATAAACTCTTATTTTATCATACTCATAGCTGTATAAATTTCATACAAAATGAATTTGATGAGATAAAATACTCCACAATGCTTGAACAAAATTAGAAAACATTACAAGATTGGAAACTAAATTCAAAATAATCTCAATACTGACCATTATTTGTCGTCATCACATATTTCCCAAAAAAACTATTAACAAAAAAAATTATTATATTCAAGTATCAATGTGATAAATATCATAAAAATTTAAAAAAATCAAATTGTATAATAAAAACGATTGACGATTTATATTTCATAACATCAATGTATATATATAGTATGCTTTTAGTTTGTAATTTTCAAGCAATTTTATTACAGCAAATTGTAAAAATATATCAAAATAAAAGAAGTTCACAAGAATTGTAACATATGTAAAAATAAATAAAGTGATATAATTCTTCTTTATTTTGACTTTTGAAATCAAGTTGAAAAAAATAGTAAAATTTATGCTTTCAATATTGGAAATACTGATTCAATTGCCAAGTAGGTTTTCTTGATAAAAAAAATTCTTCAATATTCAATCACCACCATGTAAAAAATTGTCACATTTTTCTTGGTGTTTTACATTAGAAAAACACGCGGAAAATTAAATCTTGATATGCATAAATTTAAATATTATTTTTCAAATTTATTAGCTTTAATTTAAATAAAAATATTATGATCATTCTTATCATGCAAAAATCTGATTTTTGGGTAAATTTTCAGGATCAATTTTCGGGATAGTTCACTATTTAATATCTAAAATAAAAAAGTTGAAATTTCAACATAAAAAATAAACTTAAATTAAATCCTGCCAAGAGTATGTTGATTATGTATTAAAATCATTTTTTGAAAAGAGGATTTTGAAAGTGATAGGAAAGTTCATACGAAAAATAAACCACAATGTATATTAATGTATGAAGTGAATAATTCTTGCTCTTATTTCAATTTTTTGTTTGTAATTTTCAGAGTGAAAATACGCATTTCAAAATTGACACAATAAAATAGATTTGAAATATTTTGATAAGGTTAAACCCACAAATTACATATAATACTTCATGATAATTAGATTTATGTCACTTAGAGCTTTTGAGAGTTCTCTTATACAGCAATATTATATTACATTAATTTAGTCAAATTCAGCAATGAATACATGTGTTAAAATCTAACATGATAATAATAACATGACACAATTGATGATAATTTTTTTTACCAATATGTAATGATAAATTGATCATTCGTTAAATATGAATATAAAATTTATCCATAAAATCAGGATTTAGAAAAATTTTATCATCAAGTTTGGTGATAGCGATATTTTATTAAATTCTTATTTATTTATTATATTATGTCAGAAAATTTATTTATATTTAAATTGCATAAAATATTTACTATATAAATTATAATATGAAATAAAAATGTATAGTTTTATAGAAAAAATTATGCTATCTATTAAACACGAAAATAAAAAGTCTTAAAGTCTTAAAGTAATATGACCCTAAACTCTAAACTATGAGATTCAATTTAACATCAAATGATATTTTGGATGCTTGCCACTAACTTGATGTTTAGATTTTATTTTACTTTTTATAATTTTCATTTCTTGTTATCACTTAGTGACATAGATGCAATATTTAACTCATTAATAAATTTTAAAGCAACATGATTTATATGAATTGGATCTTTCTTTATTCAAATCTATGAAAAATCAATGATATATTTTAGAACATATTTTTTAACTCATCTCATCATCATAAATCATTGATATCATGACAAAGCTATGACATTGTAATATATGCAGCTAGGAATATTTTTCAAGCAATATTTTTAAATGTTATAATCTTGTCAACATAATAGATACAAAAACATAACAGGATTAGAATGACATGCATCCAATTGTCTACGCAGAAACATACTTGGTGCAGCTTTCGTCGGATATTTCCACAAGGTTACATAAGTAGCTCCATTGATTTAACCCTAGCGTGGTACAAGAGCTTTCACAAGTTTCCTTATTAAAAATGATAACTATTCTACCTGGAAATTAGAGTGACAACCTAATTAGACTTAAATCCAAACAAAATTTAATGAATAAAAGATATAGCTTTCATAGATTTGAAGCTCAATTATGATTCGTTTGACGATTCTGAAAATTCAATCGCTGATACCTACAATGAAGTCAATGAATTTAAATCTCCAATTTTCAAACTCACCTTAACATTGCGTGTTCTCATCTACCTTTAAATTATTATTTCGTGATTTTCAGCCTCTTCCATCATCTTCACCTTGTTAATATTGAATGGATAACGATTCATTCAATATTGAACACTTGAAGAGGACAGGGATTCAAGATCTTCATGAACTATCACTACATTCATGGTACACAAAGTGGGCTATAGTAAATATTGCGAGAAGAGAAAGGCAAGATGAAGATCTGAGGATTCATGACTGGTTGAAAGATAAGAATCTCATTACAATTTGAATAAAATTATATCCGAATGATGTAATAAGAACTGAAACTTTCAATTGAAACTCAATCCATGCCTACAATTTTTTTGATGAATATCGATATATGAATGAGCGTATATCTTCTTAGTTTATAATGATATAGTAATAGTACTCAGATTATTATATCCCTAGCAAGGCGAGTCAAATTTCGAGGCTCTATATTATATTTTATATTAATCTTGCGAGAGAGACATTGTTAACACAGTTTTTTTATCACTTTCGTTTTTTCCATACTTTTCCTCTAATTTGTAGATTATTCGAAAAAAGAAAGAGCAGTTATGGATTAGTTATGAAAAATGTATGAGCTTGTTGGATAAAACTTGGAAATGATTTGGTACATGAATCAAATTTATGAAGATCGTGTGATTGTGTAATCCTCCCTTGAATCAAACAACCAAGTACAGAGAGTGCCATCGACTCGTCGTTCAGGGATTTCCAAAGAGATTAAGATGGGGTAGGTCCTAATAGAATGACAATGGTAAATGTTTCTAAATGCATCTAAAGAAATGGTATGCCGTAGAATCAATCCAGGCTGCTTAGACTAAGCTCTACCGAGTCCAAAAATGGTACTTTAGTCAGGACAATAGCGGCAAGGTTGGAGGGGCGACTAAACCCGACCCGACCCAATCAGTGAGATCCTCACTCTGCCCGCCAGCGTGCCTGCATCTCTGCACGAGAGAGCCCTCGCAGTGTCCGTGAAGTTGATGGCAGGCGACGCAGAAGTGGAGCTTCATTTCATTTGCTGGTCCGTCCACTCCAGTTCAGTCCCTCCCAGCCCAGTCCACGCAGCAGACGGAGAGACGGACTCAGACGAAGAGAAGTGAAGGGAGGGCAGGCGAGGGAGCAAGGCCTGCAGCGCACTCACTCGTTCGTCGTGGGGGCCAACATCGTCGTCCTCTTTCTGGCTGGCTGGCACTGGCAGGCTCGCTGCCTTGGCCCCGCTGCTTTCTTCAGCATGGAGATGGCCCTACAGCATTGACCCACTCCGCATAGAACGAGCGAGCGCGAGAGATGGAGAGATCGATGGAACTAGTCTTGTAAATCCGTATCGGCAAGCTTGAAGGTGATAGCTAAAGCATTTGACTGTCGTTGTCGACATCTCGGCTGAAGTTTCTTGATTATTGTCGCCGAACAATTGTCAAGGACAGGTTTTGGGTTTCGTCTCTGACAGCGATCGACCGACCGACTGACCGACCGGACGATCTGGTCTTAGAAGAGTCGAGGAAAGAGAAGGAGGACTGGATTTCTGGTCGGAGGTTGTACGGGTCCTTGTCTTTGTCTGAAACCTAGCAAGGAGTCACAATGCTGACTAAGTTCGAGACCAAGAGTAATCGGGTCAAGGGGTTGAGCTTCCACCCGAGGCGGCCCTGGATCTTGGCTAGTTTGCACAGCGGAGTGATCCAATTATGGGACTACCGCATGGGAACGCTGATTGACAGATTTGACGAGCATGATGGTCCCGTCCGTGGTGTCCATTTCCACAAGTCTCAGCCGCTTTTTGTATCTGGAGGTAAGTGTCATCGCCCACAATTTCTCCTTGTGTAGAAAATCGCCTTAGGGTAGTCGAAGTTCACTGGATCTGAGCTCTGCCCAACCCTACGTTGAGCTCCGTTCATAGTGTTGTCCGTATCATGTTTGGCAAATGGGGCTTCTTTCCGTCTAGATCTGCAGCCAAAGACCTTCCTTGCTTCATAGCTTTTGTAGTACCGAAGTGGACTCTTGATTTTTGTGGTCATCTTTCGAGAGAACCCGAACTGTGCCTTAGTTCCCGAGCGATGAACATCTGTAGATGTAGCGTTTGGTCGGAGATTTCGGATCGTTTACACTGAGGGGATGTAAAGTAAGCTTGTAGTGAGTATAACTCCTCGCGTCCGGTTCTATTGGGTCTTATCCTAGTTCGATCTGATGTCAATATGGAGTCGGTACATTTTAGAACTGTCTTCTGTTTTCTGAAAACGTGGGACGTTTGGGAGTCTTGAATCTGCGGTTTCTTGAATGCTGGGACCATCCGGAGATCAGGTTCTCATTTTCACTGAGAGTAAGCTTTGTGCCCGTGATCTGAATGCAGGTGATGACTACAAGATCAAAGTGTGGAATTACAAGTTGCGGAGATGTTTGTTCACTCTGCTAGGTCATTTGGATTACATCCGAACAGTGCAGTTCCACCAAGAATACCCGTGGATTGTTAGTGCTAGTGATGATCAGACAATACGGATCTGGAATTGGCAGTCGAGAACTTGCATTTCCGTTCTCACCGGTCACAACCATTATGTCATGTGTGCGTCTTTCCATATCAAGGAGGACTTAGTTGTCTCAGCTTCTTTGGATCAGACAGTTAGAATCTGGGATATTGGAGCTTTGAGGAAGAAGACAGTGGCTCCTGCTGAGGACATACTGCGATTGACCCAGATGAACACAGATCTCTTTGGTGGAGGTGATGCAGTCGTGAAGTATGTACTGGAAGGTCACGATAGGGGCGTGAACTGGGCTGCCTTCCACCCCACATTGCCACTTATTGTATCAGGTGCAGATGATCGTCAAGTCAAGCTTTGGCGTATGAACGGTACGTTGGACTCATCTTGTCTTCTTTTCCTGCAGACTGAATGGAGTAAATGTGCGGTCTTGCCTTTTTGCTAGAAATGCTGATAACATATCCCTTTTTGCCCTTGTGAAAATTCTGTATTTTATTGTATAATATCTGTGCAGTTGGATCAGATTTATATTGTTGGTAGAAATGTTCAATTGCAGACACGAAGGCGTGGGAAGTGGACACGCTTAGAGGTCATGTGAACAACGTTTCATGTGTCATGTTCCATGCCCGGCAAGATATTATTGTCTCCAACTCAGAGGACAAGAGCATTCGGGTATGGGATATGTCGAAGCGGACAGGGGTGCAAACATTCCGCAGAGAACATGATCGTTTCTGGATATTGGCAGCTCACCCGGATATGAATCTTCTAGCGGCAGGTCATGACAGCGGTATGATCGTCTTCAAGCTGGAGCGCGAAAGGCCTTCTTACGCAGTGCACGGAAGCACCCTTTACTTTGTCAAGGAGCGGTATTTGCGAACCTATGATTTTGATACCGGCAGAGATAATCCTTTAATCTCCATAAGAAGGACTGGATCTACAGGGATGAACCAGGGCCCCAGATCTATGTCTTACAACCCAGCTGAAAACGCTGTTCTTATCTGCTCAGATGTGGATGGTGGCTCTTATGAGCTCTACACCATCCCCAAGGATACCACTGGTCGCAGTGAGAATGCCCAGGAAGCGAAGCGAGGGTTAGGTGCTTCTGCTGTCTTCGTCGCACGAAACCGATTTGCCGTTCTGGATAGGAACCACAACCAAGTCGTGATCAAGAATCTTCGCAATGAGGTTACGAAGAAGGTGACTCTGCCCTTCTCTACAACGGATGCTGTATTTTATGCAGGTCTCGGCAACCTGCTCTGCCGTTCGGAAGATAAGGTGATTCTATTTGATGTTCAACAGAGAAATACTCTCGGTGAACTAAACACTCCTTTTGTCAAATACGTCGTGTGGTCGAGTGACATGGAGCTCGTTGCTCTGATTAGCAAGCATGCGATTATTATTGCGTCAAAGAAACTGGTGCACAAGTGCACGGTCCATGAAACAATCAGGGTCAAGAGTGGAGCTTGGGATGACTCTGGTGTCTTCATCTACACCACCTTGAATCACATCAAGTACTGTCTGCCGAACGGAGATAGCGGTATCATAAGAACTTTGGAAGTGCCTGTGTATATCACAAAAGTCAAGGGAACGTCTGTGTACAGTCTGGATAGGGATGGAAAGAACAGAGTTATTCAGATTGATACCACTGAGTATATGTTTAAGCTTGCCCTGATCCAGAGGAAGTACGATCAAGTTTTACAGATGATTCGAGGTTCACAGCTCTGTGGCCAGTCAATTATAGCTTACCTGCAACAGAAGGGATTCCCGGAGGTAGCATTGCACTTTGTGAAGGATGAGAGAACAAGGTTTAACCTCGCTGTGGAATGTGGAAACATCGAAGTGGCAGTGGCCTCTGCCAAGGAAATAGATGAGAAAGATTATTGGTACAGACTTGGCGTGGAGGCTTTGCGACAAGGTAATCATGAGATCGTGGAGTATTCGTACCAGAAAACGAAGAACTTCGAGAGGCTCTCATTCCTCTATCTCATAACAGGAAATCTTGAGAAGCTTTCGAAGATGCTCAAGATCGCTGAAATGCGCAACGATGTGATGGGACGTTTCCACAACGCGCTGTACTTGGGTGACGTTCAGGAGCGGGTGAAAATCCTGGAAGAGTCAGGTCATTTGCCTCTTGCCTACGTTACTGCAGCGGTTCATGGCCTGACTGACGTGGCGGAGAGGCTCGCAGGAGAGCTTGGTGAGAATGTGCCCGAGCTCCCAGCAGAGTCAAAATCTGGTCTTCTTCTGCCCCCAACGCCTATACTTAGGGACAACAACTGGCCATTGCTTTTGGTGAGCAAGGGATTCTTCGAAGGGGCATTCGCAGCTGACGCCGGCATGCCCACAGATGTTGATGAGGAAAGCCCCGCAGGTGCATGGGAAGAGGAGTTGGTCCTTCCCGACGTCACTGATAGACAAAATGGTGCTGTTGCCCACGGTGACGACGAGGAGCCGAGGGGAGAGGATGATGAAGAAGCTGGCTGGGATATGGGAGATCTTGATCTTCCAGCAGATGTTGGTGTTACTGACTCTTCTGCCTCAACTGAGTCTGCTTATTTTGTGGCTCCTACACCTGGCATGCCTGTCAGTCAAATCTGGGTTCAGAGATCATCTCTTGCTGCCGAACATGCAGCAGCAGGGGCCTTTGACACAGCTATGCGACTCCTCAATCGCCAGCTGGGAATTAGCAACTTTGCACCGCTGAAGAGTGCATTCTTGGAACTTAATGTTGGCAGCCATACTTCTCTACCTGCACTTGTGTCGGTACCAGTGGTCTCCGTAGCTTTGGAGAGAGGATGGACTGAGAGTTCAAGCCCCAATGTGCGTGGCTTACCTGCCTTGATTTACAAGATGTCCACACTTGAGGACAGGTTGAGGCAAGCTTACAAGCTCACTACAGAGGGCAAGTTCACAGAGGCTTTGAAAATTTTCTTAAGTATCTTGCAGACCATTCCATTGGTGGTGGTCGAATCTCGCAAAGAAGTTGACGAGGTGAAGGAGCTGCTTGGGATTGCGAAGGACTATGTCCTAGCTGTGAAGATCGAGTTGAAGAGAAAGGAAGAGAAGGATAACCCTGTACGCATGGCGGAGCTTGCTGCATATTTCACACACTGCAATCTTCAAACCACTCACTTGAAGCTCAGTCTTCAGTCTGCCATGACAATCTGCTTCAGGTTAAGAAACTTCAACACTGCAGCCTCTTTCTGCCGACGCCTGTTGGAGCTCAATCTTACGCCAGCAGCTTCTACCAAGGCTCGACAAGTTCTACAAGCATGTGAGCGGACACCCCGCGATGAGCTTCAACTAAACTATGATCCCCGCAATCCGTTTGTTGTTTGTGGACAGACGTACACTCCCATCTACCGGGGTAGTGAGGACGTGTCTTGCCCCTTCTGCACATCACGGTTCGTACCACAGGTTAGAGGGAAGATTTGTCCAGTCTGTGACTTGGCAACCGTCGGAGCAGATGCTTCTGGTTTGCTCTGCTCTCCTACCCAAGTGCGGTAGGTACAAAATATGGCCATTGCTGCATGGGTTTGCAGCTTTGCATTTTTTGTCACTGAAGTATTTTTAGAGGCCTATTGGACCATTCCTCCAATAATCTGCGTTTCCTTTAGAGGCTGGTTTGAGCTGAGATATGATTGGATGAGGGTGGGTTGTCAGTATTCACCTTGTGCACAAATGGTATGATGGTTCTGGCAAGGGTGGTAAAGAAGTTATTGTTCTGTCGCCAGAGATCTTAAACGTCTTCGCCCAGGTAATTTCCTAGATTTCGTCCTAGCACCACCTTCAGAGCAGGTGCATGGTAGTGGAAAAGGCTTCCACGTTTTTTCATTTGGAAGATGTTAGTCTGCGAAGGTCAGAGTATGTTCAAGATGGCTCTTGTGGTGATTTCGATGGACTGAGCTGACAGGCGCTTGTTAACGCGTTTGAGTCTTTGTGGATACTCTACCATTGTACCTGATTTTTTTTCTTCTTTTTCGATCTCCTCTCCATACCATCGTAAGCCTTGTCTAGTCAAGTTGTTGCTTCAGACATGGTAGGTTGGCTGAAGACCTTAGAAGAATGTAAATAATTTTGACATTATATTCAATGGCTTATTTAGCAATCACGTGATCTCTCTCCACTGTCGCTCGTGGCCAAGTTTTTAGTAAAGTTGGAGATTTTCTTGATATGAAGTTTTCCTCCGTCATGTGTCTGACATGGAATAGCAACTCACAGTCACCGTAAGAGTGTCACAATACAGATTAACGTACGTCCTAGACAGGAGTTATTGCAAGTTGTACAGCAGTGAAGGAGGTGGAACAACAGTAAGCCTCATTGACTTGCTGATCTACTGGGCTGATTGTGGGTATCCATGAAAGATGCATCTCTGCTAGACATCATAGCGAATTCGGGATGTTAACGGCGGATGCATTTCACTAGGATACGGATTCATGAAATCCGAGCCTATGACTTTGAACAAGTTAATAACAATATCAACCAACATGGATCAACTCGACTAGGGATGTCCTCATATTCCAAGTAGTAACACTCAGGATAGCGCACCGTTGTGACGTCAGTGAATTTGACATATAAGATAGTTGCAACTGGCTGAAGGAGATGACACAATTTCCAAAGAGTCCGAAATAAGAAAGGATCAACATTCAGATTTGTACATCTGGGATAGCATTCTACGGTACGAACCTGAGAACACGCACCTTCGGCACACACAAATCAATCAATCGTCAGTGTTTCAATAAGAACCAAGTTTTCATCATATATCCGTGTCACCCGGCTTAAATTTTGTTAGTTAAAAGCATTTCATGTCTCTTGACATATGTAGCTTTCATATTTAACTCTTGATTTTGGTGTTTGGAACTATTGCAGATGAAGTGTTACTAATAGCTCTTGTTGCCGGAGGTGATAATAAAACACTGTGTGAAGTCTAAGCGATGCAACGAATAAGGGTCAAATCTTAACAATATTTATGCCCAAAAGCTTTATAGGTTTGTGTACATCAGTTACATCTTAATGAGAATTTGTTGATCATCAAGTCTCATCATACAGTGGAAAGACAAGACATGAGGGTGAACTGAACTAAATTTTACTACTTTAGATTGATACGTCATCTCCTTTGACATGATGTGTTCTGTAAGTATAGTATAACACTCACAAATAGTTCAATAAAAGTATTAGAACGAATTTATTGGAACACTAAATAGTTTACTTCCTGTTAACCCTAATTTTCAGTGTCTTTTCAATTTTCTTTAATTCGCCTTAGTTGAAGTACAAAAAATATTTTTTGCATGATCGGCATCACAAATCAAAACTTAGTTGATTCTGAATAAATCAAGTTATATTTTATCAATCTATATTATACAAAACGATTTGCTCTTCATTCAACTTACAAGTATTTTCAGTTGCAAATTTTTTTTGAAGTTCTGTAGTTTTTTCTACCGTCATGTTGTTATGATTTATGATGTTATGATGTTGATATGTTATGAATTTTTTTTTAACAATACTATCCATAAAAAATCGGTGATCAAACAACTAACAACAAAGAACACATCTTCTTTCCACTTTTATTCAATTCTTTCAGATTGTACCAAACTCATTATGAGCAAAAAGTGAATTTTATTTGTAATGAAAATTTCGGTCTCCTTAATTTTTAAAAATCATTTGTAAAGTTTATGCTTGGGATTTCATCACGAGGATATAGAACGAAATAGAAGTTACTCAACCGACACAGGGAATTAGGTGGTTCACCGATGCAAGTTACATTCCCGGCAACCCTTCAAGCTTTAGTCACATAGAATCCCAAAAAGTATCATTGAGAGCTTCGTTGAGCTCTCCTGCATAGTGATGGACTAGCTACCTTAACTAGTCAAGGTTAAACTAATCAACGTTAAATCAAAATCTGAGATAACTTTTGACAATCTCCACTAAGTCTTGGAAACATTAAACTCCATATCCCACAAAAATATTTTTCAAAAATCTAGAATAAAGTCTAACATAGAACCCTTTGTAAACTAGACTTAACTAGAACAAAATTATAGTCAAAATATGATAGAATAAAAAATTTAACAAAATTGATAGTAAACTCTAGTAGTACTCATCATGTAGAACCTTTAGAGTAGCATAATATCTCATGAAATTCTCCATATAAATAATTTTAGTCAATGCATCAGTATTGAATGTATTATAAATCTTGACTAACTCAAACTTTTTATCAAAAATTGCATGTCCAGTAACATGATACTAACATTTATCTGATTCATTTTGCTTTTAATCATTTGGTTTTTTGCAAGATATAATGCACTTTAAATACTCAATAAAGATTCATAATATCATGTGTAATCTTCCTTTCAATGATGTTAGGGTTAACCCGTGTCAAGGGTACTCTATTATTTTCTATTGTCGGTATGTAACTTAGAACTACTGTTAGAAAGGATTACTTAAGGAAGTGAATTAGGTCTTGCCGCCTCAAACACTGTACACACTGTTTCCGTGAAATGAAAATTACGTAAATGTGTTTATTCTCTCGTGTGACCTTTCGTATATCAGAACGATGTAACGAAAATGTCAAACTTGACACCAACATACTCTCTGCAGAACCTCGATGAGAGACAACTCGATGAGAAGACTTGAATAAATTTGATTGAGGATCAAGTGAAGCACAAACAAGATTTTACGCCACGTGATAAAATTGGGATCTTGTGGTGATGGAAGTAGATGTAGGGCAGAGGGAGCGTCGGCCGAGAGTACATCCTAATCAACATATTGTGTAGGAGGAGACAGCAAGAATCTTATAAGAAAAAACAGGTTCTTGCCACGCATTGTCTTCCCGATTCAAAACAGTTGGTACATATATCCGACGATTGCAGTGGACAAAACAACAAATTTTGTTGTAAAATGAAGTAATCCACCATAGGTAGCATAGACCATAATAAGCAAAACACTCATATGACCTATAGAATTAGGCGCCGATGTCATGGTACTTTGAAATTCTTATTTTATTCCAAATTTGACATTAGTTTGCCATTCTTCTTTCCTTTCATCTGGTCAGTGAAACTGCAGCTGTCCTCTGTAAATCTGCTAGGATTTTACAAGGATCATGAAGCACTACAATAAGAAATTGCAATGAACTAGTGCTGCAAATAAGATGCACCATCAATCTTGGATCCAATGAAGGAGGGATGAATCGAAATGAACTAGTGCTGCAAATAAGATGCACCACCGATCTTGGATCCAACGAAGGAGGGATGAATCGAAGGATTGACACATTTTAATGGAGTGAAGAACCAAGGAAGTAGATATTACGGAAGTGAATACATGTGAAAAAGTTGTTGAAGAATACTTGGATATTACGCAAAGAGGTAGCACGCGCTTTCTAAGCACGCGTAACACCTCGTGTTGAAACAACTATCAAATAGAATGCCGCACTTTCTAAGCATGGCAGTCTGTTTGACAAACGTCTTGACAATGTGAAGAAGTTGCCATATGTTTGTCTTTAGAGTATGTTTATAATGGACGCAATTGAGATTGAGATGTTGATTGGTTAATTTGAGCAAATATGTTGCAAAAGTTGAAGTTGGAGAATTGTTAAGTTTGTTGAGCCACATGTTGTCTTTTTTTTTCATGATTATTTGAAGATAATTTTTTTGTAAAACGCTTGAGCCAACCATACTCCTCAGCCAAAAGATTGCTCTTCATGAATTTTACATCAATGAAAAATCAAGATAAAGAAAAAGAATAGAAGATTTGGAGTTAAGTTAACACAAATTGGACGGTTTGTTAGTTGGAGAGTTTTGGAATAATGGAATATTGCTAAAAAATGTTCAAATGAGTGAACATGAAGAACTTTTCATTGAAACGAGATAAGCTATAACTTCTGGTGTTAGAACTAACAACATGACGGCCACAAAGTATGGAAAGCTGGATACAACATAGTCAAACACAACGGAGATGGTAACTAACTGCTCTAGGAGGGATAGATGGATGACTAGTTGATAGTCATGGATTTTGGCAAGATCAAACCATCCACCTACAACGAAACCTAGAAAGACATCCAGAAATAGATCATAAATATTCTCATACTTTGTTTGAAACCTTTGGTTTTGAAACAAGTGGATAGATATGATGAATGTTGTCTTTTATTTGAGTCTCTTGAGCAACATTTTCATTGCAAAGAACTATGAAACAAGTTGTGTGACAGTTGGAAGCGAATGAGCTTTAATTTAAAACAAAGATTTAAAATAAAAATCAAAATGATCTTGTCATTGATCTTCATATATCTGAAGAGTAGATCAATGATAAGAGAAAAGCTCTTTGTCTTCTTTTGCTCATTGCATGCATCTTTTCAGTCACTATCACGTGTTTTGCTTCATCTTAATAGACAAACAATCATTTTTAATGAGGTTGTAAATGCTCTGTTGACTGATGATTTACAGCAAATGATCAAACTTTTCTTGCCATACGACAGTGAATCATAAGATAAGAATTTAATCATACTCACAAAATGATGAAAATGATAAATTTTTTCGATATAATGAAAGATCCAAGTCTAGGAATAAATACTTAAAGAGAAAGACAATGGTTTGTTGCAAATGTAGCAAGAATGACCATGTCAAGAGGAATTGCCGTGTGAAGATAAACAATGATGATATTCTATTAGCGAATGTGATTAAAGAGTTTGATCTTTAAGAAGATGACTTAATGAATAATGGACCATGATGTCAAATGTATGCTCCATGCAATTCATCAAAGGTTGTTGATGATATATGAATTTAGACAATGCTTGTTCTTATCACATCTATCACATAAGTTTTATACTTTATTAATATCAAATGGTTCAATATTTATAGGACTGATCAATTCTCTAGGATTGGAAGTATTGAATAAATTAAGATCTAGATCTTTGATGAAGTATAACGTACATTGGCTCAAATCAAATTTGTAATCAATATGAAAAACAGTTTGATCTCTCTTGGAAAAAATAAGTGCTTGAGGTTAGAATAAGTAAGCCTAGGCAAGGTAACCTTTAGGATTTCCCGGTAAAAGTGTAAAAGGTATAGGTAAAAGTAAGAGGTTTGGCTATAGGGTAAGGTAAAGGTAGAGCCTGATGGGTTACTTGGTAATTACTAAGCAACCCGCGAAAAA